GAAATTGCACAAGCTGCTACTATGGCTGTGTGGCCATCATAGAATGTCATGTCAAGAGGGATAGTTGGAGTTAGTTTGTTAGCATAATAAGCTGCATTCTGTAAGTATGAACACTGCTGGGTTTCCCAATCTGTTTTCACTTCCAGATTGAGAATAACAAACTCAGTACCAGCAATTCTCCTGATAACTGTTCCATCAGTATTATATGCATTATCCTTGTAATTTTCTATTGTCAATGCTGGATTCAAATCTGTAAAGATATAGTTCAAAAACTTCTTTGAGTTTTTCTTATAGTTTCAAGATGTGATAGTTGAACTGAGAGCTCTTGGATGAGCTTTACATTTCCTTTTGTTATCAGAAAGTGTGATGGTGTCATCATAAAATAAATTTCTGAATGTCTCAAAGACTTCATAATAGAACCTGATTGTGATATCTGATTGACTCATGAGTCTGTGGTTGGGGGTCCAATACTATATGTTACAAACATATGAGAGGCAACATTAATTTTCAAATTTTTTTCAAATAGTAAAAATCCATAAAATTCAAACCCTGAAGGAAACAATTTATAAGTTTCAAATTAAAGATATCAGTGTTTGAGTTTAATGGATTTTTACTATTTGAAAAATTTGAAAAATTTGAAAATTAATGTGGCCTCTCATATGTTTGTAACATATAATATTGGACTCCTGGTCTGTGGTGGTAAATTTTCACATGATTAACAACATCAACATGACCTGACTCAGCGTAGGTGCTAGGTGCTATTCCTTGAAAAATATCAATGTTGGCACTCCTTGACTCGAATTCTAGAGAGAATGTAGAAGCTTGTTAAATAGACCAAAAATTTTCAGTTTCTGCAAATTAATATCCAGTCCAGTTCAACTTACTCTTCAGACACTTAGCAATTTATCTAACTCAGGGGATGGTGAGCATGGATGTTAGATTCCTGGTAATTGAAGTGAAAAAATAAGATGGTGAGGAAAATAGATTAGTTATGAAATTAATTACAATATACCAAACAAATAAATAAACAAAATGGGATAAATGGAAAATAATTTTTTGTATATTTTTTTATGCAATTTGTTCATTGCCTTTATCTTTTTTATAATTAGCTAATACTACATCCTGAAATATCCTCACTTGCTCCTTCACATTTTGTCATCTTTGAAAAATAAATTGTTTTTCCATCTTTTCATACATAAATAATTAATGTGTGCGCATTTGTCAATCAATATTCTTTTTTTAAGAAAATGTCACAACAAAACAATAAAAGAAAAAAAAAGAAATTGAACAGGAGGCAGTTTCTGAGTAAATGTTATCATAAGAATGGTGGTTATTTCCACTTGTCATCACTCTAGTCAGTAATTAGTAATTAGTTGTGTAATGTTGATTTTTTATTGATTTTTTAAAAAAAAACTAAAAGAGAAAAGTATTTAATGAAACAGGAGCTGTATGCAAATAAGTGTCATTTATTAAAAAGAACAGTGGTGGTCACCACTTGTCATCACTCTAATTAAATAGTTTGCTAAGAAAATTTGCCAAATTTATATTATAATGTCAGAAATGATCCAAATTGTAATTACAGACTGATCTGGGAAATGAGAATGATATGGTTAAGCTTATTTCACAATATTATTCAGAAATTTCTTTATTGCTAAGAAATTGATTTGAAAATTATGTATATAGATGGTATATAATCTTAATATTGCACAAACACCATTAACTGTGAATGGATCACATTACTAGTAAATCAAATGTAAATTAATATATGAATCAAAAAAAAAAATGTTCAGGAATACACATGTACAAAAGTAAACACAATTGTTTATGATAAATCAGCCACCAGGACCAACTTTATTGTATTTATTTCAATTGAATATACAGAATTATAATTATTCTGAATCAACAGTTGAGTTACCTTCTTTCTGTCTTTCAGATTTAGGTGTGAAGCCATGTGTTAATAATGATTAAAATATTACAAAATATCAATAAAGTTTCTATAAATTTTACTACTATCAGAAAATCAGGATATTGTACAGGTTATTCTTGATTCATATAAATGGTAATAGCAATCCATATTTGCTGGATCTGGTGCTAGCGATATTTAGTAGGACTGCTAATGTGTTTTCTTGTAAGTTCATTAACCTATTGTTCATGTTATAAATGTCTCTAACTGAACTGGTTCTCAATTTTGTACAGTTGCATCTATGAACACAGTTATAAAATCTTCCATTATATCATTTCTGTTATTATGATTGCTATTACCATTGTCATTAGTTCCCACTATCATTATGGTCATCATCGCTATCATTTATTTGCACTTTGTAAAGTATAAATGTGTTGGGAGAAAGTGCAAGAGGTAATACCAGAGTTTACTTGCTGATGGTTAAATCAATTATTATTATTATTATTATTCATATATATGTACTTCACTAGTTTTTATTTTTAAATTTTTAAAAACACTCGAATGATTTTTAACTGGTTGAAATTTTCAACAGGGGATGCGCAGTGAAAATTTTGTGAAACTATTAAATCCATAAAACAAATTTTTAACATTTGAGATTCTCAAATGATTTATACTAATTAATTGCCTTTGCTACTTTTTATTTGGACAAGACCTCTCTGGTTTACACTTTTCAACCTCGCATACTTCTAAATCACAGAATGGTTGATTTTTACACAAGAAAAGTCAGAATACAAGATCTCAAGTGAATCCTAAGAAGATATTTTGCTCATGGCCACATATACCTAGCTAGGTATGAGCATATTTTCACCAATGCTGACAGTTGCATGAGGTGATAAATATTCTTGTCAACATTTGTTATTAAATTAATATTATTATATATTCTTTGTTTTATTTATTTATTTTATGATTAAAGAGTTTTTACAACAAATTACATATACAAACATCTGGAAAATATAAAAAAATTTTACACGTGTCAATTGTAAGTTTAATAATAAAAAAGTGTAAAACTTACATCGGCACTGTAAGATTTACACAATATTACGTCAGCATCGTAAGATTTATGCAAGTTTACGTTAAATTAATTTCCTGATGAAGGGAAATTGTTCATGAATTTAATAAATTTAATATTAAGCCTAAACCAATTTGAGAAAACCCCATTTCGCCTTTCTTGATGGATGTGTGTGATTAATGATTCGTGTAAATAAATATAATACAACATTGCACTTGAGAAATTAGGAAAGGCAGAAGAGGAGTTAAGGGCGTTTGAAGAAGGGAGGATGATGGGAAGTGGTTGAAGGAGTTGAGAAGAAAGGTGAGAAGAAATGACCTTAGTGAAGAGGAGAAACAGGAGAAGGCAAGATTGGAGGAAGAGGAGAAGAAGTTGAAGAAGGACAAAAGTGATTGGAAGGAGCAAGTGAGGATATTTCAGGATGTAGTATTAGCTAATTATAAAAAAGATAAAGGCAATGAACAAATTGCATAAAAAAATATACAAAAAATTATTTTCCATTTATCCCATTTTGTTTATTTATTTGTTTGGTATATTGTAATTAATTTCATAACTAATCTATTTTCCTCACCATCTTATTTTTTCACTTCAATTACCAGGAATCTAACATCCATGCTCACCATCCCCTGAGTTAGATAAATTGCTAAGTGTCTGAAGAGTAAGTTGAACTGGACTGGATATTAATTTGCAGAAACTGAAAATTTTTGGTCTATTTAACAAGCTTCTACATTCTCTCTAGAATTCGAGTCAAGGAGTGCCAACATTGATATTTTTCAAGGAATAGCACCTAGCACCTACGCTGAGTCAGGTCATGTTGATGTTGTTAATCATGTGAAAATTTACCACCACAGACCAGGAGTCCAATATTATATGTTACAAACATATGAGAGGCCACATTAATTTTCAAATTTTTCAAATTTTTCAAATAGTAAAAATCCATTAAACTCAAACACTGATATCTTTAATTTGAAACTTATAAATTGTTTCCTTCAGGGTTTGAATTTTATGGATTTTTACTATTTGAAAAAAATTTGAAAATTAATGTTGCCTCTCATATGTTTGTAACATATAGTATTGGACCCCCAACCACAGACTCATGAGTCAATCAGATATCACAATCAGGTTCTATTATGAAGTCTTTGAGACATTCAGAAATTTATTTTATGATGACACCATCACACTTTCTGATAACAAAAGGAAATGTAAAGCTCATCCAAGAGCTCTCAGTTCAACTATCACATCTTGAAACTATAAGAAAAACTCAAAGAAGTTTTTGAACTATATCTTTACAGATTTGAATCCAGCATTGACAATAGAAAATTACAAGGATAATGCATATAATACTGATGGAACAGTTATCAGGAGAATTGCTGGTACTGAGTTTGTTATTCTCAATCTGGAAGTGAAAACAGATTGGGAAACCCAGCAGTGTTCATACTTACAGAATGCAGCTTATTATGCTAACAAACTAACTCCAACTATCCCTCTTGACATGACATTCTATGATGGCCACACAGCCATAGTAGCAGCTTGTGCAATTTCAACTCTTATTATCTGTCTGCAAAATCTTCAAAATCACCACATTGCTCTTTCCAATAGTCAATCCATTCCCAAAACATTTTCCAATGGACCTTTTCCCCGTTTTCTAACCCAGATTGGAAATTGAAAAATCTTAACTATGTAGAAAGACTACGAAATAAAAATCTTTGGCTTGCTGAAGTAGAAATAGATGGATCTAAGCAACATGTTGTTGTTGAATTCACTTTTAGAGAAGTTCATGATGCATGTCATAATAATGAGATTGCTCTCAAGATTTTATACTTGAAATTTCCTTTATAATTAGATTCATCACCATCCTCCAATTCAATATCATCTTGTTTGTCCATTTCTCTTGCTGCTAAACTAATAAAATAATCAACTGAATTGTTATCAAAAAATTTAGTGATGGTTCAGAAGAACTATTAATTATTTCATCATCATCTTCTTCAACAGAAGGAACATTCATGGTAATAAAATTGTCAAATTTTCTCAATCTTTCATCATGAGAATCTTTGCAAGAGCTGTTGCTTGTTTATATGCAATATGAATTATTCCCTTGATTTCTGAATCTGTTGGCAAACTCTTTAAAATTTCTAATTGATTCAAACTAACGTATGTAGTGTAATATGTCAGATACCCTATAAAAAGGTGTTATAAATTTAAAAATATAAGTTTTTTGCCAAATTAAAAATAAAAGATACTCACCAACTGCTGATGTCTTACCTTTCATATCTGTATCATTTGATGAATATACTTTATATAAATATGGTATCTTGAAATCATATCATTAAATGTGAAATCAGGTATTATTTGTCCAACTAAAATAGTTGTTCACAGCCTTCTGAGCCATACATTCCATGGAAAAAATGGAAAATTAGGATAGTGCTTTTACAAGCAATAAAGGTTAAGCATTACATTTTACCAATAAAAAATTTTTTTTTTGAGCAAAGAAAGAAAAAATAGGCTACACCGATTTTATTTTTGTTTGCATTCTTATGCTAATATTAAATGTCACGTGATTAACATCAGTTTTTCAGCGCGTGGCGCAATAAATAGACTTTCCGCACCATATTATAATTTATTATTTTTTTAAATTAAAACAAACATTACATTATAATTATAATTATGATTTGGAACCCCTTTTTTTTTTAATAATCATCACCTCTACTAAGAACCTATTTAAAGAATTAAAATGTTAATTAAAGTTTTATCAATTTTTATCACAATGTGATTATAACTTACTTCTTTACATGTAGGTCTTAGAACTATTGTATGTTCATACTGGGCAGTATATGAACCTTTAATATCAACCAGTGGCGGATATGATTCCACTGCACCTGCATCAACCAAATTCTTTAATGCTAATGCATATTTTGTCTCTCCCACTCGATCAAGATAACGACGACAAAATGGAAGTGTACCAAAATTTTTGCTGATTGAATTTAAAAGTGCTTTTGTTCTTGCAACCCTATTTACGTTAATAAAAATTTTATATTAGTTTATCCTCTTTTTTTAAATAATTTATTTTTTTTTTTAAAAATTACCTTAAAGGAATATGTCCAAGATTTTGTCGTTTTGCATAATGACTACATTCTCCATCTTCATGAACAACCCCTTTCCCCGTACTTCCAAATGTTTCAATAGCAAAATATTCTCCTTCCTATATATAATAGTTATCGTTACTTTATGAATAAAACAAATTTATAATCTGAAATATGATTGAAAGAGGCTATATGTATTATATGTACCTCCATTTTGGTTTGATCTCCATTTTTGACAATAGGAACTGATTTACCTCCATGAATTTGATATGGAAGTATTGAATGTCCATGTAAATTACGTATTGGTTTAACTTAATATTAAAAAATAAAATAAATTAATAAAATAAAATCAATATATTATTCCTCCAAAAAAAAAATTAAATAATAAGAAATAACCAACCCATATAAATATTTACCTTGTTGTGTTTTTCCATTTATTTCAACTTCGTAACTTTCCATAACTAAAATGATTAATTTTTAATTTTTAAATTATCAATTTTCTTTTGTAGAAATATTAGAGAATCTAAGAAACAATAATTAGTATAAACAATACCTTCTTGGATAGCTGCCCCGATATCACCCAATCTTACATCAATACCTGCCTCCTATTTTAGTTATTTGAGAAAAGTAAATTTAATTTTCTTATCAATGATTGTTAAAAAGAAAAGAAGAAAAAACTTACTTTAACACCAGTATTTGTAGCATCTTTAACAGAAGCTTTAAGATTATCATAAACTGGGTTGAAGGCTAGCGTAAAAGCACTATCTATAATACGACCTATATTTATTTTATTTTATTTTATTTTATATTTACCAATTCAAATAATAATAATAAATTATCTTTTGTCTTCAATAATAATAAATTACATATACACATACATTATTGTAAAAATTACCATTAACATGTGTCCCAAAATCAATTTTACAAACGTCATCATATTGTAGCACTGTTTTATCTCCAGAATTTGGTGTATAATGTGCTGCAAAATTATTTAGTGAGCAACCAGTAGGAAAACCGATTCCTATATAAATCAATAATTATAACATTTATATTATTATTATTATCATTATTATTCTTGTTGTTGTTATTACTATCAATTATATAATTATTAATGTTTCCATAAGTATAGACCAACAAATTAATTAAGATGATTAATTTATGGTGAGTAGCATGGATATTTTTTTCTTGTTTGCATAAAAATTGTTATCATCCATAAATAATAATTGGTAAAGAGATGAGCACAGAGTGTAGCAAACTGTAAATATATGTATATTTTTTAAATAATTACCTGCTGACAATCCATTTTCTTCTATCAATAACCGAGTCGAATTTTCAATTAACTCACAAATTTCTATCATTGTCATTCCTGGCTTAATAGTTTTTTGAGCATGTTTACGTACCTACAATTCAATCAATTGATCAATGATTAATTTGATTTATTAAAAGCAACTTTTTTTTTTTGATATATATATATTAAAAATTTTATATAATACCTGTCTATGTACTTCTGCAGCACGACGAATGTCATTATAACCATCAAAAAGCATTCTGTCAAGGTTTCTTTTTTCTTCATTTGTGATTCTCTTAAGGTTGCTATTATTGTATATAATATGTACATGCATAATATATAAATACATAAACTTAATATTTTGGCTTGATAAATAATCAATAAATAACAATATCATCATAGCACTAACTCATTTTTGTATTCACATATTTCTCCTTCTGGATATATTCCATCAGGATAAAATTTACTAACAGGAATAGTAGGAGGTTCAGTTTGTTTTAATTCAGTCTGAGCTATGGTATTAGTAGCATCATTATTGTCAACTGTTGCTGCGTTGCTTTTTTTTTTTGATTTCTTTTTCTTTTTCTTCTTTTTAACTTTTAGATAATAAACAAAGATTAAAAATTTTTTTTAAAACAAAAATAAACACGACCACCACAGCTAACTACCACTAACCGCCACTAGCTTGAGTCTTGTCCTCTTCCTTTTCTTCACCCTTTTCTTCATCCTCTACAACATCCTCTACAACATTCTCTACATCATTCTCTTTTGCATTCTCTTTTGCATTCTTATCTTCTAACATCAGGAAGTTTTTTTACGTAATTTTTTTAAAATGGCGTAGAATTATTATTTGGATTATGTGTAATACAGTGTGAGACATCACGTGCTGCGCTACTTACCAGAATTTTTTATGCCGATACTCGATATATACACACGATCCAAAGAAAAGTTATTCAAAGTAAATCTGGTATTAGTAGCATCATTATTGTCAACTGTTGCTGCGTTGCTTTTTTTTTTTGATTTCTTTTTCTTTTTCTTCTTTTTAACTTTTAGATAATAAACAAAGATTAAAAATTTTTTTTAAAACAAAAATAAACACGACCACCACAGCTAACTACCACTAACCGCCACTAGCTTGAGTCTTGTCCTCTTCCTTTTCTTCACCCTTTTCTTCATCCTCTACAACATCCTCTACAACATTCTCTACATCATTCTCTTTTGCATTCTCTTTTGCATTCTTATCTTCTAACATCAGGAAGTTTTTTTACGTAATTTTTTTAAAATGGCGTAGAATTATTATTTGGATTATGTGTAATACAGTGTGAGACATCACGTGCTGCGCTACTTACCAGAATTTTTTATGCCGATACTCGATATATACACACGATCCAAAGAAAAGTTATTCAAAGTAAATCTAGAAGAGAATGAATTAACATTTGTTCAGTTTATTCAGAGAGTGAATCATAAAATAAATGATTATCAATTTTAAAATGTAAAAAAAAAATAATTACTTAATGGAAAGCCTAAAAGTATAAAATTTGTAATAGAAAAACAAGGTTTGTGAAAAGATGGGTTGTTAAAAAAATGTAAAAATCATACACAGGTTCTTGAAGTTGTTGATTGTTGTACAGATCGATTTTATCATCGAAACCTGAATGCAGGACATAAAATAATATTTTATCCCAGATATCACTGTGAATTGAACTATATGAAAGTTTTTGGGGTGCTGTTAAAAATCACGCCAGAAGGAACTGTAACTGTTCATTTAAAGAATTAAAGGCAACAGTCCCAGTCAGGAGCAATGATTTCTGCAGTGATAAAACACTAATTTCGTGCTAAATCAAATTCCGTATACATACCATGCATTAAAACACTATTATTGCTGTTACTATATCTGCATAATTTCCGTTATAATATCTATGAATTCTGCAGTTTTTCAAAAAAACGGATCTATATTTAAACGATTTGGTGGCGTGAAATCAGAAAGAATAGTTACGCGACCATTAATTTTAAAAACTATTACAAAATAAAAAATCCTAAAAGGGATAAAATGTTTGACCAATATTCATTCTATATTAAACGCTGATCCGCAATAAATTGCCCATTCATTTAATAAATCATGGATTATTTAATTCTTTGATGATATTGTATTGACATATATCTACTTGTGTTAGACAACAAATTGAATCAAAAATTTGACATGTACAAAAAAATGCACATCCAGGATGAGAAGGAATGAGTACATTTAGATTGGCTCATCAAAAGTTTACAGCTTGTTGGAAAATAGGATAAAACTCATCTGGGAGAAAATTATAATTAGTAATTATTGAGTCCAAATTAAAAAAATTTGTTGCAATCATGTAACAGGTGACCTGTACCCTGTATCTTTTGAGATTCACCCAATAAACTTTGAAAAGTACAGGGTATAAGAAATTTTGTTAATCCTATTACTATACTTTTTTTTTTGAAAAATACAGGCCGCATAATTACGCAATTACGTAAAACAATCATTCAATTAATATTAGCATCGGCTAGGATGAATGGTTAAAAGAATTAATAATTGTTGAAAAACTGATGATTCAAATAACCATGTTGAAAAAACTGACAACTCAAATATTCTGTTAAAAAAACCAATGATAGAATAAATGTATTTTTTCTTTTCTAGTTAATTAGTTATTAGGAAATGTTGGATGTTTAATTAATAATGTAAATAAAAACAGTTCTCTACTTTGAAAAAAATTGTATAAAATAAATAAATTTTCTACTTTACTAAAAATTTTGAAGAATCTATTAATGAAGGTTTATATATGATTAATCTTTTTTTTCTCTCAAAAATAATGTTTGCAAACTTTTTCTCAAATTATCAATCAAAGATTTACAAAGCCCAATGGAATTTGCATTCATTGTAATTCAGACAAAGATAATTTGGATAAAGATAACGGCAGTAATACATATTGGTTTATTTTTTAGTTGCATGTAATTTAATTAAATCTCAACATATATATAATATATTTTTAGACAAAAACTATCCATTGTGGTCTTGTGGAGATCATGTTTCTAAATTCGAAGAAGAACCAAGAGATTGGTCACAAAGTGGATGGACTTTTTATTCTTCTGAGTCAAGATGTAAAAAAAAGCTTGGGACAAATCAATGTAAAAAATGTGGTACCCAAGTTAGACCAAAAATGAATGGCTATAAAAAAATTAGTAAAAGCTGCTTGCTCATTATCTACTTGAGATGGTATTTAAGTTTAATTTGTTTAAAGCTGTTTGTCATTATGGCTAAAATTCGTTTGATTTTATATATATGTTAACAAATGCATGTTATTTATTTTTAGAATCTTTAGAATTCAGTTGTAAATTTATCAAATTGGTTCGATCTCACGAAAGTTGGTTTTTTTCTATTTGAACGTCAAGGAATAAACCATTCAATAATGAGAAAGATATGTTCAACAAGCGCACCTAATATTTTACCTAAAAAATTACAAGTTGGGCAGTACTTGAATAAAAACAATCCGCTTGCTCCTTCAGAAACATATTCTAACATTGACCAAGCCAAGAAATAATAGGCTCAAGTTTTCGAGTTGACTGACATTACATAAATAGTCGCGAATAATTAATAATACTTTGAATAAAAAACGAATAAAAACCCGAATAAAACGAATAAAAACCCGAACAAAACGAACAATTCGAACAAGAATTTGTATTACGAATATATAGGAGTTCTCGATAATTTTTTAAACGTTTTGCATTTCGTTATAATTTTCCGCAAAAATTATAATGAATTTTTAAAAACATATGAAACTCGTTGAAACGCAATTAGTAATTTTGACATGACGATTTTAAATGCAATTTTCTTATGCATTCAATGGATCCATTGAAACGAGGTTGATGATGAGCATTGATTATTTGCTCGATAGTAGAGGCTTGAGTGATTTTTTCTTTTATATCAGCAGGATATGGGGAATAGATTTTCATTTCTTGAAGTTTTTCTACTTACCCTATTACTATTACTATTACTATAGAAAATTATGGTACGGTAACTCCGTATACTTTGTAACATTTATTAGTATTAGTATAGATTCTTTAATAAAGTACTTTTCACCCGATAAAATGTATGGAAAAAATAGTTGGTAAAGACATCAATAAATTGCGTTGTGCCAGTTTATTCCTATTCTTTTTATGTGTTAATCAATCATCGACCACTATCTGAAAGAATGATATTTGAACATGAAAACTGACTCGCTATTGAACTATCAGTGCAGTAGTAGTATTAAACTTATATTGATATTTATCTTTGACATTAATGTTTGCATGACTGAGCGCAAAAGTAAGATTTATTTATTATCTTAGTTCTCGCAAAGTCCATTCAAGAAGAGAACAAATAAACTATGTTCTTTATGAAGATGAACTTATCGGGAAGGGTCCCAAGTATGGTCTTTAATGGAATTAAGAGATCGAAGGGCATCTGAAAATTATAATACTGGTGAACAGAATAAAAATAATGTGACTATTTAATATTTGATAGATATTAAATTAAAAATTTCACGGTTCCTGAGCACGCAAAATTTAAATGTGATGGTAGCTTTGAATTGATAAAGAATTCTATCGAAAACAACTGTAGGTTGTGTGGATCACATTGTTAATGTTGTAAAAAGTCTAGGCCGCCAGATTAAATAAATCCAAATACAATGAAAGTGGAAAAGGCTTTCAATATTTTGATATTAAAACTAGCTTAGAGGGTTATCTTTAAAAGTTAAATGGTATTCAAAAGTTTTATCATTTTCTGATGTTGTAAAAGCTCAAGATGTATCCTTTCCCCTGTAAAAAATGACACCCAGAATATTTCCATTATATCTCCGTGATCATGTTTATCACTCCGTAAATCTTCAGTTTATTTCATAATAATAATAAGAGCAGTACAATTAAGAATAAGAAGTTTGATCGACAAACACTCTATTGGTTTTTTTGGAAACAATTTATTTTTTAACAATGACAAGTTGTTGTTTGGTACCTTCCTGAAGACGTGTTAATAACTGACCAGAGGTACTTTTTTTTAATTTGTAAATATTTTAATTGAAATCAAAACGCGGAGCAGATCTTGCTAGGTAATTATAAGATCCTCATCAAGATGGTGAATAATTGGCATTTGCTTTTCGTAATCAGTAGTAATATTAATATTATTATAAATATATAATCACATGTCAAGGCAGCACACCGTTGAAAAAGAAACATTTCGAGTATACAAGGACAAGGTTTGATTACCAGATATGTCGAGGGTAAGATATGTCAGGTTTAAGATACAAGGACAAGGTTTGATTACCAAATATGTCTAGGGTAAGATATGTGAGGGTTAAGGTATGGACTTAGGGTCATACCTTAACCTTGTCATATCTTATCCCCGACATATCTTACCCAGGCGTTAAAGTACGCACACTGTCTTGGACACTACAGTCATTCTCACGTTCCTCATTTACACAAGGCTAATCTCACCGAGATACTCTCAAAGGGATAGAACGATGCAAACAGAGTTCCGTTCATCGACCAATAGTCAACGATGTTTTCCCTCACAGCACCTAAACCAGAGAAGGCTCTTTAATTTTCATTTGACCAACGTTGGTGTGCCTAAATTCTGGGAAAATCCAAAACAGCAAC